AGCAAAACTCCATTGTGCATAAATGCCATACTTTCTTTATCTATTCATTTGTTGATAGACATACAGACCACTTCTAAAATGTAGCCAGTTGGGCTGGGGATGTAGCTCAGTGGTACTGAGTTCGATTCCCAATACCCCCTCCCCAAAAAGATGTAGCCACTATGGATTGTGCTGCTGTAAACATAGATATGCACGTGTCACTGTAGTATGATGTCTGTAATATTTTCGGGACGATTCCTAGAAGGGGAATAGCTGAGTAGAATGGGATTTCTCATTTTTGTTTTGTTTTGTTTGGTACTGCGGATCAAACTCAGGACCTTGCATTTGTGAGGCAGGCAGCAGAACCACTGAGCTAAATCCCAGCCCTTGTTTTTGTCTTTTGAGGACTCTGCATCCTGATTTCCATAGTGGTTGTCCTAATTGACATTCCCGATGACAATGAAGAAGGCTTCTTTTTCCTCCACAGCCTCATCAGCATCTTTTATTACTTGATTTTTTTTAATTCATGAAGTTTATTGGTACATTATAGGTATACATTATTATCACATTCGTTATTGGGAATACATGATATATCTTATACTTGGTTCTTATATTTGATTTCTTGAAGCTAGGCATGGGGTGATTCGCAGCCAATCCCCAAAGCTGCAGATGACAACGTCCCATGACATAATCATGGCTGACCCACACGCCCCTCTCTTTCTCTGTGTGCAGGCTGCTAGCCCTTTAAATGATGCTCCTTCCGTCCGAGCCTTGTTTTGCTTTGTTTTGTTTTTCAGTTAAGGCCCTCCAGAGACACAAGGAGCCAGCCCAAATGAAGTCATTCTGATTCGTTCTTTTTAGATGACCCAGAGGAAATTTTGCCTATTTTCATAGATCTCCATGCACAGAGATCCCCCCTGCCATGTATGAACTGATCATGCTCAGGCATGTGCCTGCCTCCCCATATGAATAAGCATAAGTCCCTGCAACAAAACTCCATTGCTGTCTTTGGCCAGGGAGTCTGCTACAGGAGCCATCCCCAGTGCTCTCTTTCTGGCTGTAAGAAATAAACCTCTCTCTGATCTCCTGTCTCCTGATTGTGCTCATTGGCTCTGCTCTCACCACAGGGCAAACCCACTGTGTTCAGTTTCGATTCTTAGTCATCTGGTGACCATGGACAACTTCCCTTACCTTCAGTGCCTCCAGAAAATGGTCCTACTGATAGGACCAATCCTATGTGATTGTTCTGAGGCTAAGACAAATGTAAAGATGCATCAGTAAGCCAGCACAGTGACCACAGTGGTGACCTGCCTTTGCCACTTGTGTGACACAACTATGGGTCCCTCCCAAGGGCTGGCCTCAGCCATACAGCCCACTTCTAAGATGTGGCCAGTTCGGCTGGGCCTGACTGTCAGAGCCTGATTCCCCAACCTCCCCAACAAGTGTGTGACCTGCTCAACATCATCTGTATCAGAGACTTTCTGATCCCCAACAGCCACTTCCCTGCTATGTAATAAGGGCTACTGTACTGGTCCAGATGCTGCCCAGAAGGCACCTCCCTTTCCCAGCATCCCTTGCTCCAGATATGGCTGCTGCATGACAATAGGCGTGCTTAGAAGATAGGAGTACTCCTCCCAGGGACACGTTCCGGGAGGCACCCTCTTCTTGCCTTCCTGTTGTCCACTCCCTGCAGGTTGGATGTGGAGGAGGGAGCCTCATGCAGGAGGCAGCGGCTGAGAGGTGAGGAACCCACATCAAGGGCCTGAGAGCTTCATGGGGCAGAACCACTGAGGAGTTTGAATCGCTGTGCTCCCCAAACTCCAGAGGGAAACTGACCCCCAGGATAACAAGCGGAGCCTGTGACCAGCTCTGCCCTCATGAATGGGATCTTTCTTTGTGATCAGGCACCTGGACTGTACACATTCCTTGGTGTAGACCAAGGTACCAATAAATACTTGCCATGCTTCTTTGTAGAGCCATAAAATCTCCCTGCTCCTGGGCTCTGAGGCTTTGTCTGCTGGCTCACAAGTTTTACCTTCCTCCCCAGCACTTGTCAAAATATTTTTTCCAGACAGTATTACAGTTCTGGGGAAGAGACGCTGTAACACTGGATGTTAATAAAAGTGGCTCCACTCTGACACCTTGTTTTGTTTTGTTTGCCTGCAAGCCTGGAGTCCAGCATTTCTGTTACTTTGATCTCTAAATGAAACAAAACAAAACAAAACAAAAAAACCAAAGGGCCCTGGACTCACTGGGGAAAGTTGAGCCGCAGCTGCAGCAATAAGGGAAAGTAAGGCTGTTTCTGGACATCATGTGGCAAGCTTGAAGTCACAGCAAGTCATGCATGCTTCCTGGGCAGCAACTCTGCTGCAAGTCCGGAGTCTTCCTGGTTGATCTGGTGTGTGAGGGGCACAGAAGAACCAGACATGGGTCCTGACCTCCAGGGACCAGGCTCACTGAGGAGCTGAGATATGTACTCCCCGTACCACATAGCAGCTGGTCACACAGGGACTCTGGGCACTCAGGAAGGGAGCACTTCTTGTCTCTTGGAGCACAGGGAGAACTCCTAGAGGACAGGGCATTTCACTGGGGCTGGCAGAGGAGGAGAGACTCAGCCAGAGAAAGGAGACAAAGACATCGTGTTCTCTGTGCCAGGTGGATGGACAGGACGGAGCCACTGTTGTTCTAGAGCTCACAGTCCAGCAAGAGAGAGAGCAATGACACAGTTACTGTATAACAGCAGTAGCAATGGACACCAAAGTGGCTCAGAGACCAGGTGGCAGCAGGGACCAAGGAAGTTCCTCCAAACAGCAGTCACCTACCTGAATCTGGGAGAAGAAAGGGATTCCCAGAAAGGTGGTGACTCAGAAGTCACTGGCAGCAGAGGCATGAGGAGTGTGAGCTGCCCAGAGCACTGTGTGCCCAAGCAAGAGGGGAAGAAACACAGGAAGAGGCCCCAGGTCTTAGCTCTCCCCTTGATACCTCATCTCAGAACTCCAATTTTTCCCAGCAGACAGCCATTCAGGAAATAGACATTTCCCAGACTCCCTTGCAGCTAGGTATAGCTGTTCTGAACCTAAGTGTGTACACAAAATTGGTGTGGGTGTGTGATTTTTCAGGAAGTGTCTACATGGAATGTAGTACTGGTCTTTCCAATGGCTTGGATGCAAACATGATGGTTGGAGCTCAAGCAGTCATACTGAACCATGAAATGAAACCCTGTCTTGATGGTAGCAAAACAATATGGTAGAAGGAGCCTGGCTCTTTGGTGGTCATGAGTCTTCTCCTGGACTCATGGACTTCTCATGAACTTGCTCCTAAATTTTAAGTCAGTTGAGAAAGGCCAAAAACAAACTAAAACTTCTCTCTTGTTTTAAACACGTGAAGCTGAATAGAACGTACACTGGTAATACGGATCTGGTGAATGTTGCTGGGGTAGCTTATACAGTTAAGGCCCCAGAGCCAAGGCCTTGGGAGCATTTGCTGGGGACTGTTGGAACTCCAGGTGATTCTAGAGTCCCCTGGGCTGTGTGGAGGTCATGAGGCTGGACTGTACTGGGGCAAGAGTCCTTAGCCAGCTGAAGTCAAGGGGCCGGGCTAAGCTGATGAATGGAGGTGATACGATGTGCAAAGATTTTAAAGTATAGATGTGGACAGCCGGAAGCGCAGCTAAAAGAGTTCAAAGTAGGGGCAGGAGCAGAGTTTGCCTTTTCTTTTGAGAGCACTATTTGATCTTTCCAGCTACACCTTTCTGTGGCTGTTATTTGTACTATCTGGTCTGGATCAGTCATGTTTAAACTTGCCTTGTTCCCAGCACCACAAAAGGGCTCAGATCTGAGCACACCTCAGTCAGCTGGAGGGCTTGTGGGGGGATGGTGCTGCCTCTGCCCCAGGTGCTGATTCAGAAGGTTGGGGCTAGGGCAAAGCTGGAGCTACAGAGCTGGGCTGGCGCTGCGAGTGTGCATGCGTGTGTGTGAGCCTTCTCACGAAGCTACATCCTCAGCCCTTTTTTTTTTTTTTTCCAAAACAGGGTCTTGCTAATTCACTAAATTACCCACCCTGGACTGGAACTCTCCTGCCTCAACATCTCAGAGTGCTAGAATTACAAGTGTGCACCACTACACCCAGCTCGGCCAGCCCTTGGAGATCCACAGTTCTCTGGAGGGCACCATTGCTGACCTTGGAAAGCCCACCCAAAGGCTGTCACTGGAGGAGCTCTGGCCGGACTTCTTGGTGGGTGACGTGAGGGGGCTCAGCGTGGACCGTGGGGGAGGGGAGGTTTCACAAAAGAAGCAACCTTTTAGCGGGGCCTAGAGGGGCAGGAGAAACTCCCCGGGCTGGCTGAAAGGAAGAACAGTGTGTCTGACAGAGGGTGACTTGGTGCAAGGGGAAGGAAGCAAGAAGAAAAGGGCCAGCCCCCTAACTCCCAAGGAGAAACACAGTGACGCCAAAGTGTCACGCGGCAGGGGGCTGTCTGCGCGTCCGAGGTCCCTTTGATGCTCCAGGCTACAGCATCCTCAGTAGTAATGGGCAGAGGTGTCAGTTCCTGGAGAGGAGCAGAGCCTGGAAATTAAGAGGCTGCCTTCGGTCAAACTCGTGACGAATGCCTGTAATCCCAGCACTCAGGAGACTGAGGCAGGAGGATCGCTTGGGCTACCTGAGTGAGACTCACACCGCACCCCCCGCCCCCGGCTCCCCGTGTTTTTGATGACTCGCAGGATCTCAGTGTGTAAAGCATAGATACAAACTCATCAGTCTTGAGCAGCCCTGCGATTCCCATGGGGGGCTCTCCCACGCGAGCTCAGTGGGGGTCCCCGCAGGAACCCGCGCCGCCCACGTCGCCTCCCCTCCCCCGCCCCCTGCCCGACGCTCCC